CACATTTGAACATGGGATTCCTCATGGCGATTTCATCTGATCAGATAATGTAATATATCATTATAGAGTCCTACGACCATTCAGTTGCCCAAATCGGTTACTAAAACGTATTCAAAAAATGAAAAAAAGGTTAAAAAATTGGCGCTCTTACGAAAAACTTGATTTCTCCGTCAGATATTAGCGGACCAAAAGAACTAAAGTGTCGTTAGATAGTCCCATTAATGGACTATCATATATATACTCAAAGCCATTAAAAACGCAATGCCTAATTCGTGAAATATTTCTGGTAAACCGTTTCTTGGGCATTCCTATCTTATGGCACATAGGTGAAACTTGTCTCTTTTTGTGGAGTTCTGGGTTTGAACCCAATATCAGTTCTCGGTAATAAACTTTGTTCGTGCAAACGCAACACTTGTCTTTTTTCACGATTTTAAGCAGTCCCATGGAACACGTTTTGCACGTACATTCCCTGCACTCCGACCCTTTAAATATAGATCAAAATTTCAACATTCATCACTTCGGAAAAATGCCACGCCTTACACAAGAAAACAGGAACAGAGCTATTGGCATACTGGATCAGGGGGCTTCACAGGTCGCCAGGCACTTTAATGTTCACCCATCGACCACTGCTCGCCCCAGACAACGCTTCGACGAGACTGGAAGAGTTGCCGATGGACCCCGACCTATAGCGCCACCTGTAACAACCGCTGCTCAAGATCGCCACATCCGACTACAGCATCTGCGCAACAGGTTCCAGTCAGCTACTGCTACTACTACGGCAACGTCAGATCAGCCCTCAAACAGTCCGAAGGCGCCTGACTGCTCTTGGGTTACGCTGCCGTCGACCATACCAAGTTCAAATCATTTTGCATCGTCATCGACTTGCCAGACAGCAATGGGCCGCAAATCAGGGGTATCTGCACAACACACCATGGCGAAATGTCATCTTCTCGGATGAATCCCGATTCAACCTCAGATTTCCTGATGTACGTCACCGTATCTACCGACATGAACCCGATCAAACACCTTTGGGATAAACTTGGATGACGGGTTTGAACTCAAGCCGTGTCACCACGAGCTAATGCAGAGTTGGCATTGGCACTCCAAAATCATTGGCAAACAATCCCACAGCGTATAGTGATATATCTGTGCCAGTCCATGCCAAGGCGCCTTCAGGCATGTGTAAGAGCTCAAGGTGGACATGCCCGATATTGACTTCAGCTGACCCCTGCTTTGTTTTATGGTTCTCTGACGTTTCAGTTTTGTGCATTTGTAGTAAATTCTTTCATGAAATTATCCACATATTATTATGCTTGTTATCTCGATTTTGTCAATTGTTATGTACATTTGTTAAAAGTTGTTGCAGTAAATAAACTTTGAATTTGGCATTGCGTTTTAATGGCTTTGAGTACCCAAATGATACAATTTCGATGGTTAGGAAATAAATTATGGTACGACGAAAATCTATTATTTTCCGTTTTGGAGCCCTTTGCGACGCCTTTTTCTAGAAAACGACACCTACGATTTTTCTTAAACTTTTCTTACTCAGGGTCCTATCAGTGGTATAGGGCATGAATCCAAAAATAAAAGCATTGAAATAATATAAGTGGTCAAAATAGGACCTCAATCTTCGAAAAAAGTTTAAAAATAGTTAAATTACTGGAAATGCTCTTCTAATTTTCTTTTTTTTAAACTGCTCAATGGATGTTTCTAAAACATCTGGTACAGGAAATTAAGTGCTCTTGTGAAAATCGCGATTTCTCCGTCCGGATTAAAACAACTAAAGTATCGTTTGGTAGCTCGAAGAATGGGTTATTGTATGACACTCTTTCTGTCTGATTCCTGAAAGCCGGTTCACTGCTGCTTGCAGGTCTAGGTCTTATTATTCTTATTTTTTTTCCATTTTGATTAGATCTCAGCAACTGCTTGCCACATCGTTACGATGTCTTCGGTGTTATTGGAAAGTGAAGGTGACTTAGAGGGTAACGCTATTTTGAACGTGCTGCGACAATGCGAAATGTCCGAAGCTGTTGTTTTTAAAAATATTGCAATCATTTTCAGGATAATCGTTGGATTTTAACTTTCGATACATTTTGTCATAGCCTGAAACAGGCCAAATAGCTACGCTACTTTTGATTTTTGGTTTTCGGCAAATCGTTTCAGATATTAGGCGCCAAATTTAGAAAATTTAAATTTTTACAATTTTCTTGTTTATTTATGAATAATTTATGGTATTTTATACTGAATTAAAGAGGCATCTGACTTGAGCAAAGATGTAAAGAAATTTTGTCTCAGTAATTTTTCTTGGCCGCCATTGGCCAAATCAGTTTTTCAGTCCTAGATTAATTATTTATTGTTCAATTTGTATAAAATAAAGTTCAAATGATCCTTTGTCTCAATTGTCTTTTTTTTTTGTTACTCATAGAGTTTCCTGTCGGCACCGGAAGAGGCGTAATTTTACCAAACACTGCAATTTTGACAGTTCGGTACCACTTTTCAAAGCAAATATTATTTTTTCCAAAACTGATATAACTAAAAGTGTGTGTGCCCTTTAAAGGCGTAAAAAGTGTGAGCTCAGTTTTTATAATTTTGATTTCATTTTCGAGCAAATTCGATTAAGAGGTGAAAAAAACTGTAAAATTGACCTATTCAAGCTTTTCAGATCTTAAAATATCTCTTCGTAACTTTTATAAACTTGTAGCTATAATCCATACAAAGGAAATGTATGTTAAAATTAGTTTGTAATATAATAGTTGCCTAGAAATAAGTCACCGTTTCCGTTATTTTCCCTGTAAAATAGTCAATTATTATTGGATTTTCAGAAAAGTGACACCATTTGATTCAGAGAGCAGATATACGTCATTTTAAATCGATTTCAATTTAAAATTGACAACTTTTAAAATCAATATTTTTTTCAACCAAGACTTATTTAATATGTATTAATAATTTTAACTTTTAGTTTAAATTAGCATATTGATAAAATTTATCCGGTCATATAGATACCACAAAATTGTTTCTAAATTGTTCTGTTGCTGTGAAATAGACGGATTTTTACAAGTCACTTTTCAAGGTTTTTGGTCTATAAAAGTGTTAATTATTATTCGATTTTCATAAAATTTTCACCATGTGATGCCTAATGTCATTGACGATGTCATAAAAGTAATTTAAAAATTTTATTATCACCGGAAGTAATGTCATTTTGGCAAAAAAACTGTATTTTTTGTTGTAATGAGTTTTATTTATTATTCAATTAAAATTATGAAATTTGATTTCTATTGAAAAACAGCATGAATCAATGCGATCATATTTATATCAAAAAATTGTTTCTAACATCTTGCCTTGCCGAGAAATAACCAATTTTGTCAGCATCACTTGTCAACTTTTTTCTGCAGATAAACTTTTCTGTCAGCACCGGAAGCCACGTAATTTTGAACTTTAATTTTGACGTGTCGAAAGTTCTTCTCAAAGGAAAATATTAATTTTTACAAATCTAATAGATCGAGATGAATGCTCCTACTAAAAACGCAAAATATGTCGGGCTTAGTTTCTTATTTCGGTTTTGTATTTGCGCCATTTTGATTTAAGGATGATAAAATAGGTGTAAAAATGAGCTATTTACAATGCATTCAGACCCCTACGCGCAAGCGAATTATTGAAATAAAATTGAACATATGTTAGTCCCAAAATGGCCGAGTCGACGTTAAACCCATCTCTCTCTCTCTCTCTCTCTCTCTCTCTCTCTCTCGGAAAAAAAATATTTTTAGCCTTCAAAACATATTTTATTCACATGAGTCTGATTTGTAATTTTTTTAAAATTATGAAATTTGATTCCAATCAACAAAATAATGGACCCATACGATCATACTGATACCATCAAATGGTTTCTAACTTGTACGGTTGCAGAGAAATAGACGATTTTCTACGAGTCACATTTTAAGGTTTTTGGTCTATGAAAGTGCCAATCATTATTCGATTTTTAATGTTCACCATGTGATGCCTTATGCCGTTTATGATTTCATATAACTAATTTAACAATTTCATTATCACCGGATGAAATGTCATTTTGCCAAAAACTGTATTTTTAGCCTTCAAAACAAATGTTTTTTTGAAGTGAGTTATATTTATTATTCGTTTAACATTATGATATTTGATTCCAATTGAGACGTAGATTAGATCAATGCGATCATATAGATGCCCAACAATTGCTTCTAGCATCTTCCCTTGTCGAGAAATACCCAATAGAAAGTCAGCTAACTTAGCGGTAAGTTAGTAACAAATTTTGTCAGGGTCACCTTTTTGACTATGTAACACAACAAATGCTGGATTTGGTTGATGGGGTGCGCTATGGGGAAAATTTTTCTCGGGCAGTAGGATTTCTTCAGACTAGCCATCGAACTCCAACTGTCATGGGTTATTTTACGTGCACATCGACCTGTACAAGTGAACTCGGTTATCGTCCCACCCGAATTACTAGACCCTTTCGTCCTGCACCAATGACGAAGGGAAGGGAAACTCGATTGGAAAGTCTCGAGGAACATAAACGGCTACTTCGGTTACGTCCATTTCCCCACTGCCCTGGGCGCAATTTCAACGTTAACTACAAAGATTGTTGCATTCATTTGTTTTAACCGTTGCACAACCGAATTGGAAACGGCTACCATAGAGATGACTCACAGGGTGTGGTGCATTTGTGAACGCGATATAAGCTACATTTTTTAACGAAAATTATTCAAATTTTGTTGTAAGAAACTAGGTCATGACAATACAAACTATCGCTATTAAGCGTTCTGTGACTTCCCCTTTCAGAGTTACCCCTCTTTGTCGAAAACCCTGTGAACGCAATAATAAATCATTATACCACTACAGTATATCAGTTTACCACTGGAACTACAATTTTATTGTAAAATTACACATTTTCTTCTTACAGTGTATAAGAAAGATAAGTGAAAGACACAATGGTGTGCTTTATTTCTTTGGTGATAATCCTGTTTTCATTTTAGATTAAACATGGATCGAAATCAAACCGATTCCAATATAACCACAGAGACACCTACCATGCCTTCGAGTACAGCACCGGAAATAAAGGATAAAATAGATAATGGTAAATGCCAAGATGAGGATTCGGATGCTACATCAACAAAAAGTGAATTAGACAATGGTGAATCAAAAGATAAGGTTCCTGATACAAAAAACGGGAAAGATATAAATACAAATTTAGGTAACAGCTCCGACAATCAAAGTAAATCCAATATGACCACACAGACTCCTACCATGTCTCCGAGTACAGCACCAGAAGGAAAGGATTTAAATACCAATAATAAAGTACATAATGGTAAATGCCAAGATGAGGATTCGGATGTTACATCAACAAAAAGTGAATTAGACAATGGTGAATCTAAAGATAAGGTTCCTGATACAAAAAACGGGAAAGATATAAATACAAATTTAGGTAACAGCTCCGACAATCAAAGTAAATCCAATATGACCACACAGACACCTACCATGTCTCCTATTACAGCACCAGAAGGAAAGGATTTAAATACCAATAATAAAGTACATAATGGTAAACGCCAAGATGAGGAATTTGGTGCTACATCAACAAAAAAGGAAACAAATAGTGAATCTAAAGATAAGGATACAAAAAAAAGGAAAAATGCAAATTTACGTAACTGTTCCGACAATTACATGGAAAAAGTGGGAATGCTTTTTGGAAGGTATGGGAAGTTTGTAGCTACTTATCCTTTTCTTTTCATTATCACACCTTTGATAGTATGTGGCTTGTTAGGTGTAGGTCTTTTAAATATGTCCTCAGAATCCGACATTGAGACATTGTACGTTCCAATCAACAGTCCTACCGCTTCTGATAGAACAAAAGTTAACTCATTATTTCCAGATAAATCGGATTCCAATTTTTATGAACACAGTTTAGGTCTGATGAACTTATATGGTGACATTATAATAAAGAGCCGAGATAACAGAGACGTTTTATCTTTAGAAGTTGTGGATGAAATCAGAAACATAACATCGCAACTCAAACAATTCTCTTTTGAAGATGGTGGCCTTAATTTTACCTATACCGATGTCTGTGCCGTTAGAGATGGGGCATGTTTTATTAATGGGGAGTTTATACTTGCAGATTATTTTATACGACTCTACCAAGGTGGAAACATCTCATACCCTAAATGGACAGATCCACAAGGTATCCCTACAGATCTGTCTTTATCAATTAAAGGCAGTGTCAATACCTCCATGGTTTTAAAATCAGTTTCTACTCTGTATTTGAAGTTCCACCTTCGACAAAAAAACATTTCGCGAAGTCAAAAATGGGAGACAGAATTTCTTGACTTCATCTCAAAAATGTCAACAAATCTTACAGATATAGCTTATTCTGTATCATCGTCGCTAGATCAGGAACTGAATTCTAATACAGGACAAGATATATTTTGGTTTTCAATCTCATTTACATTATTGATTACGTATGCTTCTGTGGTAGCTGCAGGTGGAAACTGTGTTTCAAACCGCAGCCATTTAGCACGAGCTGGAGTTATAGGAGTGGCCTTAGCTATCTTAGCATCCTTTGGGATCCTCAGTGCTGGTGGTGTCAAATTTGTTAACATTGTCGGAGTCATGCCATTCTTAGCATTGGGTAAGTGATTACATTTTCTTTAACTGATCCTATTATCTTTCATTAATCTTGATATGCAGTAAGGCACATCTGTATTAAATGATATCTCCTGAATATACATAGAACACATCTGTTTAGCCTTTACAAAAACATTTTAAGCAAGTGCAGTAACTCTGACAATGATCATTATTTGCGGAGTAAACTTGTAAACAATTAGAATATGACACATATTTAGGTAAAAATTAGTACTGATATAATAATGGTTGGTAAAGAAGATGTATCATTCAAATGAACGTAATACCTCTTGTCGAGGTGATTCCAAGATTGTATATGGGGAAATATTTTTATAAAACAGATAATAGATTAATAATATAATTACTGATGTTTGCATTTCTAGGAGTAGGAGTGGACTCCATGTTTGTTATTATGTCAGAATGGACAGAACACCACCATAAAGCAACCACCGAAGATCAGATGGAAGCGGCATTAAAAGGGTGTGGTGGTTCTATTACTATAGCTTCACTAACTGATGTCACAGCTTTCTTAATAGGAGCCTCATCTCAATTCATCAGCATCAGAAACTTCTGTATATACACCGGTGAGTTGATGGCCATTATTGTTATGCTGTAATTTCATTTATGTAGTTTTCTTACTTGTCTTTCTCACGGTTTATAGTATCATTTTAATGTATTTTCAGGTTTAGCTCTCGCCATCAGCTATTTCTGCCACATGACCTTTTTCATTGGTTGTTTGGCTCTACAGGGTAGGAGAGTAAGAGACAACCGTCACTGCGTTACTTGCCGAAAAACTGAGGACAAAGCCACGATGAAAATGGCGAAAAAAAATCTCGTCATTGTTGAACTTTGTTCGGGAAAAATGGCAGACAAGCGAGAAGATGATGAAAGTGTGTTTGAAAAGCTACCACGAATCTGTCTAACTAAAACAATTCTGCAGAAAGTAACCAAAGCACTAGTTATTTTTGTATTTTTGATATATCTAGGTTTGTCCATATGGGGAGTCCTTAATCTAAAACAAGGGTTAATTTTAAGTAATTTAATAAGTGATACGTCATATTTTAACAAATATGAATCTTGGAGAAGTTCCGAATTTGAAACAAAATTCAGCATCTCTTTTACATTTGAAAACATTGATTATCTTAACGAAGCCCAAGTTAACTCTATGAGAAATTTCATGGAGTCTGTTCAACACGAATCCATCGTGGAAAATAATTCGTTACTTTGTTGGTACCATCAATATGTGGTCAGTAACAACTTTAGTAATGTTTCTAAGATTCAATTCATCAGTAATTTAAAGGCGTTTTTAACTCATCGTCCATATATTTCTAACGACATTGAATTTACTTCTGATGGTAGCGCAGTTAAAGCATCACGGTGTTACGTGTTTACTGTAAATCTACCTGATTCTACAGATCAAGGTAACCTCATGTTGCGTATGAGGGAACTTGCTGATGGATCTGAACTTGATGTTTTTGCTTATACACCACCGTTTATTTTTTTTGAACAGTATGTAGTTATTTTGCCCAATACCATACAGACGGTTGGTATTGCAGTTGTCTGTATGTTGGTAATCACAATAATATTTATGCCTCATCCCATAATGGTTGTATTAGTAACACTGAATATGATCAGTATTTTGGTTGGAATTTTCGGGTTTTTATACTTCTGGGATTTAACTTTAAGCTCTATTACTATGATACATCTTATAATGAGTGTAGGGTTTTCAGTGGATTTTAGTGTCCACGTGTGTCATGGATTTATGTCCTCTGATAAAGACAACAAAGACGACATGGCACGAGATGCATTAAAGACTTCTGCAGCTCCGGTTATTAATGGGGGTTTGTCATCTCTGATTGGCATATGCACACTGGCAGGTTCACAGTCTTATGTTTTTAGATCATTCTTTAAAATCATGGTTCTTGTTATAAGTTTTGGTTTGGCCCACTCAATGCTACTGCTACCAGTGATACTTTCGTTGATCGGCCCCGCTAATGACTGTAATAATAAAGTTGGTCTACTTGCATCACAAACAGAAGACAAAGATATATCCCTCAAAAGCACAAAACCCAATTTAACGCCCACAACGGAAATACATGATAGTAAGAATCTATCAGTCAATCCAACAACAGTAGCAAAAGAACAAGGGTGTGTAAACGAAGAAAAACCGAACATCGCAACTTTAACACCAACCGAAAGCATAATACCCAATATAACATCCACAACAGAAATACAGGTCAGTACGAAACTATAGCAAAATAATATGAACTAGATATCAAGTACCACGCAACGCGCAAGAAGTAAATATATCACTTAAGACAAACCAAGACAAGCACACCAAATCACCCCTATCGCATCAAGTTACATACAATAGTTACATATAATATTAATTTATTATTGTTAATGACTTTTTGTGATTGTCTGTGTTGGTAAGTGGACAATCATATCTTGTATTTTTCAATAGTTTGCTTTATCTTTATAAAAGACATATTTTGTTTTTAGTAAATATAAAATATATTATCTTAAAGTGTGTGTCGCCCTATCATTATTTATTTGTAATTTAATCATTGTGATTGTCTGTGTTGGTTAGTGGACAATCATATCTTCTGTTTTTCAATGGTTTGCTTAATCTTTATAAAAGACACATTTTGTTTTTAGTAAATATAAAGTGTGTGTTGCCCGATCATTATTTATTTGTAATTTAATCATTATGTATTTTGTATGTATATATTGAAGTTAGCCTTAAATAAAAGCTGAGTGTGTCAGATATTAATTTTTCTTTTTTTTATATAAAGAATGTCTTTAAGTTTAATTTTTGTTGATCTAAATAAGGGTTGGAGAACAGACTGCGTTTATGTAAAAGTGCTATAATTCATTTTTGCTAAGTCTTGGAAACCGTTTGAAGAAGATTGAAGGAAAATTGAAGTGCTAACCAAGGTTATATTTATTGTGGGTTTAGATACTGGTTATATCAACAAACACAATTATTATATATTTTGTGTAGTGTTATTGGTAACCATGCAAGCAAAAAACTAATCGCGGACAATGTGCCAGAGATCACCATAGATTTCCCCATTGACCATAATGACTATTTCGTTCGATTTAACACTTTCTACTACAGCAAAATGCGCCAATGTATTGCGCAAACGCATGCAATTTATCCGTCCAACGTAATCAACCTCCTACAGCGGTTACCCTTTTAACCAGAAAATGGCATTTGCCTGTAAAGTGAGACTGTTTTCTTTGATTCTACAGCAAAAGAGAGAACAGAGGAGATGTAGAGAAAAGGGAGAATATTTAAAGACCTGGGTCCATCTACAGATTACAAAGCTGGTGAAAATCAGTGGGGCTTTAACCTATTAATCGTGGTTCCAAGTTGGCCACGTGTTAAAAATTTAACTTTGAAAGTCAAATATTACCTACAATTAATGTCCGTTAAACAAAGTCCACCCAAACGACAGTAGCACACATCCATAATTACGTACATAAATATTATTTACACCATCCTCCCTATATTGCTATATTTGCTGGATACACCTCAAAACTTTATTCCGGGATTTTTTTTATGAAATCTTGCTGGCATGTCATTCATAATAAAATTATACCATTGGCATATTGAAACAAAAAAAAAAACAACAATAAATAGAGTGTATTTGAAAGCTAAACAAATTTCATTCTATCATATTCACTAGGCCTAACCAGACTGTCAAATTTCAAGATTTTTAAAAGCTAAATAAAAATATTACAACTCACACTGGCCTATTAACTGATGGTGAAATATTCTAAAAAAAAAGGTGAAAGCTTACTTATATGACTCGGTAGAAAAAGACTAATATCCTTAGGGAATAAACAATTCATATGAAAATTTTTCAAAACGATTGATTAAGAATTGTGGCCTGTAGGCGACACACAGACATAAAAAAAAGAAAATGGGCGTGGCTTTGCCCCAGGGGGTTGGGCATGCACCCAAAACGATGGGGGTGTTCCTTGGGGTACAAAGAATAAGTATGCAAAGTTTCAAGATGATACGTTAAGAAATGATGCCTGTAGACGACAAACAAACAAATACAAAAAATGGGCGTGGCTCTTCCCCTGGAGGTCGGGCATGCACTAAAAACAATAGGGATCATCCTTAGGGTATAAGGAATAAGTATGCAAAGTTGATACGTTAAGAAATGCGGTCTGTAGATGACAAACAAATAAATAAATATACGGAATGGGCGTGGCTCTGAACCTGGGGGTCGGGCATGCACCAAAAACAATAGGGATCATCCTTAAGGTATAAGCAATTTATATGAAAATTTTTCAAGACGACTGATTAAGAATTGTAGCCTGTAGGCGACCCCCAGACATTAAAAAAAGAAAATCGGCGTGTATCTGCACCTGGGGGTTGGGCATGTACCCCGGCCATGCACCAAAAACAATAGGGATCATCCTTACTCTTAGGGTATACGGAATAAGTATGTAAAGTTGAAACGTTAAGAAATGCGGTCTGTAGATGACAAACAAATAAATAAATATAAGGAATGGGCGTGACTCTGCCCCTGGGGGTCGGACAGGCACCAAAAACAATAGGGATCATCCTTGGGGTATAAGCAATTCATATGAAAAATTGCCAAGACGATTGATTAAGAATCGTGGCCTGTAGGCGACATACAGACATAAAAAACAGAAAATGGGCGTGGCTTTGCCCCTGGGGGTTGGGCATGCACCCAAAACGATAGGGATGTTCCTTAGGGTAAAAAGTTTCAAGATGATACGTTAAGAGATGTGGCCTGTAGACGACAAACAGACAAATACAAAAAATGGGCGTGATACTTTTCCTAAAGTTTATATCAGTGTTATTCCTCGGTAATTATTAGGATCTATAAAAACACCCTTTCTAGGGACGGGAATGATCACCCCCCCCCCCGACCATGCGGATGGAAAGAAACCAGATTCAAATATTTCATTGAACAGTCGACAAATTAATGCATCAAATATTACATAATTAGATTTAATCAATTCCTTTATAATACCGTGACTGAACCATTATGTTGAGGAGAATACGACCTACACTGTCGAATATACAAACATACATGTATTAAGTTTCACAGAAATCCACTTGAATTCTTAATATCCGGGAACATGCCGTGTTGTGGTGTTAAACAAGCTTTGATTCGCTATGGTTACGATCGCATAATAACTTGAAACAATATATTATATGACTCATTTACCCAAATGTTTTATAACCGTATCAGTTCACAAGGGCCATATAATATGATGTAAACAAATTCAGTTATAAGAAGGATGTAATTCTGTCTAAATTACGTCATTTGAATATTTAAACATAAAAGTCAAGTTGCGTAGAGGGATATCTCGTCTCACATGTCACTGATGAAACATATGCCCGAAACACATGTTACGCTAGAATCCTTTTATTAAAATTACGCTGATTTTAAGTTACACTGATTTTAAATGTTTTATCTAGTCAGTTTAAAGAAATTTCTATTTTCGAAAAATTGATGATACAATTAATGATCGATGACCGAATCCGGAATGGCTCCACACCAAAAAATCATGGAATTTCAGGCATTTGTTTTGCCGGCTAGAAGGCAAAAAGGTTTTATCTCCCAAATTACTACATAATTTAAATTTTAATTTTTCACTTTACCCGCCTTCACAAAAAATCTGATTTTTAAAAGCGTATGCAAGTTAAATATATTTAATAGCGCTTTTATCTGGTTGATCTTTCATTTTATTTTCTTATGAATTAGACTATATTCTTATAACAATAATGTGCGCTTTTTGTTGTATAATAATAATAACAGTTTGTTCAGCTATACTTTTCGTTTAAAAAATGTATATTTTATCTCTTGTTCGCGGAATTCTATGAGATATCCATCTACATCCCTGTCGGGTGCAGTCAACTTCGACACAACAGTATGATAGGACATAAAATCTTCTTAAATCTAGTAATGCTTGTGCTAGTATGATTATTTCTCTGCATGTATATTACGTATGGTAAATACACATTCTAACTACAATATTCAAATTAACGATGCGACATTTGTATTTTTCGCTAAAATATATAATATCTCACGACTTAATCTACACTAATATATTATGTACTCAGATTGATTATTTAATATGTAATTAAGAAAACAAAATTAAAATACGAACTCCACAGATAATGTCCCGGCATGGGTTCAATCGGCATTTAAGAAAATATTGAACGGAATTGTACCATTTTGGATTCAATTAGAGATTCGTCTTTCACAATATCGTAGTTTGCAATTGATTCATATATCGTTAAAATGCCGCATCAGGACTTTAACAATATTATATATATATTATATATATATAAGTTTACTTGTAAAATTGTTAATATATATATATATTATATATAACGTGGGCATTAAGCGGACCATAAACACATATATATAGTCAATAAGCAGACCGGTGGATTAGGCAGACAAAAACCGGTCTGCCTAATATTTTAACTGATGAATTTTACATGCTAAAAAGTGAGAAATCACATTTCTGTAGTTGGAATAGATTTTAGTTGCCTCTCACAGTAATTTTGGGTATCTGGATTTAAAGAAAGAAAATTGATAAAATTTAATTTTTACTCTTAAGTTTTGACTTGCGTATAATTATTTATCTATTATTATGGGCATAAGGCAGACAGGCTTTTACCCTAAACAGTTTTCTAAAAACATATGAATGTCTATATTTTTATTTTATTTTTTCATTCAGGAAACATTGCTTTTAATTTTATATATATATATATATATATATATATATTAACAATTTTACAAGTAAACTTATATATATATAATATATATATAATATTGTTAAAGTCCTGATGCGGCATTTTAACGATATATGAATCAATTGCAAACTACGATATTGTGAAAGACGAATCTCTAATTGAATCCAAAATGGTACAATTCCGTTCAATATTTTCTTAAATGCCGATTGAACCCATGCCGGGACATTATCTGTGGAGTTCGTATTTTAATTTTGTTTTCTTAATTACATATTAAATAATCAATCTGAGTACATAATATATTAGTGTAGATTAAGTCGTGAGATATTATATATTTTAGCGAAAAATACAAATGTCGCATCGTTAATTTGAATATTGTAGTTAGAATGTGTATTTACCATACGTAATATACATGCAGAGAAATAATCATACTAGCACAAGCATTACTAGATTTAAGAAGAATTATATCGTGCACGCCTTTCCATAGAAATGTTGACTCAAATGTACGTTTTGTTAATATAATGCTATAGCCTCGTGTGCATATTGGGCTATCGTGATTTTTATAACCTATTTCTTTTATATACATATAATACGTAATATCGCTTTTTGCAAACGAAATTGCTTATTGCTACATTGTATTGTTTACTTTCAAGATAAATTACCTTCCCGAATTTGTGTTTTCTAGGAAATATCGTCTCTGCGCTTTACACCGTCTACGTTAAAAATAACTACCTTATAAATTTATTAATAACGTCTTATGTAGCATTACACATTTACATTGCCTATGTTCTCTGCAATAATATAATCATACTTATATTTTTTTGCAATAAACGGTGGTGGACATTATATATTTATATAGACATTGAGTTAAAGTCATATTATGCAAATTTCTTGTGGTGTAATTCTATGACATATTATATTACATTTTTATGCTTAAATATACATTATACAAGAGCTAAATTTTCCTATTACCTCAATTATTAATTAGACATTAATTAACTTACCCAGACCATAATCAACTCTCGATGCCATCGCTAGCCTGCGATATTTACTGGATTTGAATACATTTTATGATGTATAATTTAACTTCAAAAAGGATATATTCGAGACTAAGTTTTTTTTTATCGCACCGACTTTAGTAATGATGGTCGAGACTAGGCCTAAAATTCAATCGCTAAAATCTCGGTTCCGAGTGGAGCAATTTAACTGAAATTTTCAGCATATTCTCTTTACGTTATCTATTTTTAACCATTATACCGAGAACTGTCAGCTCTTTATCTAATCTCCCATAACACCCCCCGTTAATATTGGAATAAAACACCCAAAGCTATAAACTCCCATAACGCCCCTTTAATATTGAAAAAAAAACCACCCAAAGCTATATTTTTGTATAAATATATTTTTAATGTTAAAACCTCTTGATATATTTTATATATGTTTTAACTAATTCGAATATGTTAGAATTGGTAACATTTAGAAGATAGGGGTTGTATAAATTAAATCTAGTGTAGTATATATGTTTTATAAAAGTGATATAGTAATACTATAATAGTATATTTAGTACAATTGTTCTTAGTAGGCTAGACATACGAAAAAATAATGGTAATTATCATCATCTGCACAATAACACATTGGAAACACTTTCATTTCAGTAATAAAATGGTAGAACAGGTGATAATTTAAGTTGATGGTTTTTTTTTTCAATCTTAAATGACAATGAAAAACATTTTCAGTATCTAGAGATTTAATAAAAGGAAATACCCACGAAAGCCCAGGTTTAAGTTCCCCATAAAAAATTGTGTTTATGAACCATTGTAAACACATTGTTATTAAGGCTTATTCCGTTTCTAATTTCGTCTTTCCACGAACTACTTCAATAGTTTTATATTTGCTCTTATTATTATTCTAAAGGTGACATAATAAATTTGTGCAGGTACACGCTTTTATTACCTGCAATATATTATTAATGTTCTCATATTTAAGTGGGTGCATATTGTCAGTTTTGTAATCAATATGCTATTGAGATAGGCGTAATTTCCAACACAACACAAGAAATACATTCTTCGTGCTTTGCTGTTAGGCAACATATCGTATAGCAAGTGTATAATAACTGGTCCCCTTTATAATATATTTAAAGGGCCAATCCCGATAATATTTTTAAGAATAAAACTGGTTAATTTTGTGTTAAAATCCCCTAAAATCCTCTACCTTAGGGCCGAGCAACTAACTCAATATATTTGATACGTTTTCAAACAACTTAAACCCGCCAGTCTTAATCTGAAAGTTGGGACCGGTGCCCCAAGGTGTATTATGCGGTGTCTGGATAAAACCAGACTTTTATTTTATAAAAATAAAGTGTAGGTGAAATTTACCTCGCACATGGGTCATTCACTGTATAAACCTCTAAAGGAACGGGAATCGATTATCCGGTCTCCCAACGAAAGAATTGAATCAAAATCTTAAAAGGGTTACGTGTCCGGATAAGCAGTTTTGACGTTCACGTCCAAATGACTCAATATTTTGAGCTGAAATTTTGAGACAGGGTAAATACACGATTCTTCTATACTTTGGCGCTTTAATTTTATTTTTGAGACTCTGTTCAATTCGGGATAGTCCCTTTAACAGAACCGGATAAAAATATCTAGGGCCCCCCACCCCCATGTAATTCAAAATGAAAACCATACTAAACTGTAAAATAAATTTTATTCATGGTAATAATATATTTGTATATTTATTTATTGTGGTTCCCCTTTTTCGTTTAGCTGCAACATTTGTATCATGGTGCATTATAAATCTCTGTGTTTTCTCCGGGTTCTCCGGTTTCGTTAAACTGCAAAAGACCCCTACGTGCAAGGGAATTATTAATTCGGGATAGTCCCTTTAACAGAACCGGATAAAAATATCTAGGGCCCCCCCACCCCCATGTAATTCAAAATGAAAACCATACTAAACTGTAAAATAAATTTTATTCATGGTAATAATATATTTGTATATTTATTTATTGTGGTTCCCCTTTTTCGTTTAGCTGCAACATTTGTATCATGGTGCATTATAAATCTCTGTGTTTTCTCCGGGTTCTCCGGTTTCGTTAAACTGCAAAAGACCCCTACGTGCAAGGGAATTATTAAAATAAAAATAAACCGTATGAAGTCCTGAAAGGACTTAGTATGCTAGGTTTTGTTACATGTGCTGTAAATCTTAATTTTCTTCACATGTCCAAAAGATTTGTCATCATGCTTTAGGCCAATCCAAATCCAGTTCTGTTTCAAATTCAGACTGTTTATAATTTTTCTGGTTCAATTTGAAATGACAATAACGTATGACTCAGAAATGGAAGACAAAAACAATGTAGATCGTAAATTTTTAACGTTAATAAAGGAATCCAGATCATATACGACTAACTTAACCCACTAAATTCAAACGGGTGTCAAAATAAAATAACAATACAAATTTAAAATTGAATATATAAAATTGATTCTACTGCCTTTTAAATAAAGAAAAAAACGTCTTATAGTACATGTAAATTGAGCAATTTTAAATTTAGGAATTCAATTCAGTCAATAATTATATAAAATTATCAAATTGTTTTAATTTCTAGTAATAATTTCCTAACATTATCTGGTGTACATTCAGCTAGAATATTCAAATGTAAAGTAATGAAATAACACGGAATTTGCCATTTGACTGAAATATAAAAGAAAACGCACTGAACAAAATTAATCGAGGGGTCAGATTTACTGACTAAACAATACTTCTAATCAGATATAATCAGAGAAACAAGTCAATAATGCGACGTGCAAAATCGATGTATCAAAGATAAGGATAAATTTAAGGTGCCCATTGAACAAGTAACCATAATCTGTCCTCTAAAATGGTATACATACTAATGATTTTTATTTCGTAAATTAAGTTTTAATTTTGTAGATTGCTTGTACATTCGGCACACCTCGATTAAATACACATCTCTACAGAAAAAGAAAAATACACCTGTCAAGTGCATTATATATGAAGGAAAAATCAACAAAACCTTCGAACGAAGCTTTTTTAGAACAATAAATTATAAAGGACTATTTTGAAGCTTTCTACCTGCACAGGTCTTTCTATGTTCGTGGGAGACAGACAACATTACTACTAACAGATAGAATATAATGAATTAAAGTTATATAATACTATTGTATGTTTTAAATTATCTAAAGTTTATTACTGTATGTTTCAAATTATCTGAAGTTTCTGTACAGATCAATTAAATTTTGTTTCCAACTGTCAGCGTTGCCTTCTATAAACTGTAATGTGTAAATACTTTTCTTTGTTTTTAGTTTAAGTATTTGGACACCACTCTCTGAAATTACAATTATTATTATAATATATTCATCGTGGTGTAAATAGAAACAAAACAACGCAAGACAAAACGAAACAAAAAAGAGTCCCTGATATAAAACATGTTGTACAAAATGGATAATTGTCGCAGTCAATTTCACCGGAGTATCAAGCCAGAAAAAGAGAAATTGTCCCCGCCAGAATATAACTTACTTTTCCTTTCTTCAAAATAAAATTGAATGATGTCACTTCTCATTATATTCTTATTGTCCAATATTAACATTACACCATCAATGTCTGGTTCAAGAAATTTCACATTCACGTCTTTTAAGCCTCCGGTAGATGTTTCTCTTCTAAATTTCCCTGCAAATATGGACAGAAAAAATGGGGAATCCAATGCTACTTTTTGTGTTTCACATCAACAAAGCTTAAAGTTAGAGACAATGATAACACATTGTGTTCATTTTCCATAATCAACCATAATAATATTCGTAACATTATTAAACTTATTAAAATATTTTTTTTATACTGTTACATGTTTCAGTGTCCTTCAATGAGAAAGAATTCTTAAAAAGAATATCAACATACCTTCTAGAGTTCGTTTAGGCGCTACCATTTTTAGCTGCTCGATTTTAACTTCTGGCTGAAGAATCATTTCTTGTAAAAGTTCAATAATTTGGTCAATAAAAACTTCTACATCAGATTGACTGTACATCTCTGCACACAACTGTAGCTTAAGTGACGTTGTTTGGGCATTACGATCAGTGAAAACGAATAAAAAGGATTCGCCCAAAATATGTTTATTATTGGTTTCTTTGAGTCGCAATGCTGCACCATCTTTCATTGCTGTTAATTGGTCAACAAATGTGTAATCATTTATAGTCAAAACATGGCGGTACAAGTCTTTATTAGCATCCTCGGGTATGAGTTTTTCTATTTCATCATAAGGAAACAGGCTGTTGTCAAGAATGTCATTGATGTGTTTGGAGTTAGTAACAAGAAAATCTTTGACAGACATAGAATGTTCTATATCTGCAAAAATTGGAATATGGTTTATTAAGCATTCCATAAAATTTTTAGTTTCTGGCAATGATGACCGAAGGTCTTCGGGTAAAGTAATAAATACTCTACGATTTCCAGACCGAATACTCAAAAACAGTTGATACATAGACATCATTATCTTAGATGTTGTTGTCCTTAGTGTCTTGCTTAGTCTACTGAGTTCATTGTGTAGTTCTCTAGACATTTGTCTATGAGCTGTAACTGAAAGGCCGTGTAAGTCACATATTTTGGAAGAATCGATAGAAATCAACGGGACGCCCTTAGATAGCTCCTTTGTCCAAAAACGCTTCATCGCACTAAATGATGATTTTAGTCTCCTATCCATGATATTCGCTGCTAGTCTATTGTTTTGAAATGCTGGTGTTGAAAGATGTTCAAGGCTGCGGTACTTGTAGAGACTTTTCAAGCAGTTTATAAATTCCTTCAATAACATGCTCACCGCTAGTATGTCAAATGCTATGTGATTGCATATAATGGCGATTCGCATAGATGAACCATTTGTGTGGTATATGAAACGAACGGGTCCTTTGGATATCAAATCGAAGTGTTCCATACTTTTCTTCTCAAAAGCTTCATCGATATTTCGATCGGCTTCGTCGATTATAATCAGATCAAGTGCTTGCTTTGCATCAATCACATTTCGTTTAATGTCTTCTTTTGACCCTCCTGGACGTAATACTCCTGAGTAAGTTGTTCTAAGAATAGGATTTCTGGCTGTTATTACCAACAGCAAATTGGCCATCGTCTCTTTATTCAGGCTTAAATCCGAAAAATACATATCAAATAATAGATGGAATGCTTTGTAAGCTAGTGGGGTTTGGTTTAATTTGTAATATCTGTATTCCATGTAGGATATGGTTTGTGGATTGTCAACGTTGTCGTCTTGATTGTTTTCATCGTCAACCTCATTGCTACTCCTGATATTCTCATTTATAAAACTTGACAGACTAGCTACAGTTGTATCTGGTGAAAACAATAAATTAACAGGTATTTTGTAGCTAATATCCTTATTTACTTCGTTAACAATTGTCATAGCTAACATTGAATCCATTCCTTCATCCACTAGACATGTGTTCGATGATAAAATGTTTTCATCTAAAATCAGTACTTTACATACTAACTGAGAAATGTAAGATTCGATCATTGCTATTCTTTCTTTGGTAGATGCAGATTGTAATACGTGGGTACTTATTTGTATTTTTTCAGAATTTGTGTCAGGAATTAATTCAGTGTAATTCACAGATTTCGGGAATATACCACGAATCTTCTCTATCGCAAACATGTCTTTGTAACTGAACAGAGTAGTTTTAAGTACCTGTAAATTTAAATCAGTTACAATAATCTGTGGAAGATCTGAAAAAATGGCAGATTCTAGGCAATGTCCAATATCATCTTTGCAGATTAGACGGTAACCTTGATTTTCTAGTCTTTGTCTATTACGCAAATTATCTTTGGCATTTTCCAACATTCCCATGTCTAAAGGTCCCCAGTTTATGCTTTGTGCAGGTAATCCCTTTGATCTGCGATAAAATGCTAAGCTGTCCTGGAAAGCATTTCCCGCTCCATAATTACTCTGTCCTGGTGCCCCGAACACTGATGTTATTGAAGAATGAAGAATAAAGAAATCCAATTCAAAATTTTCTGTTGCTAAGTGCATGTTCCAAGCACCAGTAATTTTAGCATCTAAGACTTCTGTTATTTGTTTATCAGTCATGTTAATCAATGTTGAATCTCTCAATACACCGGCTCCGAAGATCACGCCTTTAAGGGAACTCATCGGGAATTGTTGCATGAGCTTTTCAAACGAAATTTTCAAAGAAATAAAATTGGTTACATCTGTTTGTATAGCAATGATCTTACAACAGCATTGATCTGATAATTCTTCCATTTTGGTCTCGTCGTCCTTAGTGGGATTTCTGCGGTTGAAACAAGCAATGGAGCCAGCGTTATTTTCAGCCAGCCATTTAACACACTGCCACCCAAGTCCAGTTAAACCACCAACAACTACATAAGCAGCCGATTTACTGAGTATCCGATCTGGTGGTTTTAGACGTAGATCAACTGCATCTGATTGGTCAAGATTGATTTCCTTTGAAGAAAACAACTTGGTTAGGTGACCTGCATATTTAGTGTATGATCCATGTTTATTTATAATCACGTTTACATTTTTATTTGATTTCGTTAGCCATGCTGACATCCTCGGTATGGTAGATGTGAGCTTTACGGGTGAAAATATGTCCCATTCTCTCAAAACTTTAATTTCCGAATCTTGCATGTGGTGACATAGCAAAGATTCGCAGTCCTGTGTCATAAGAGCAGAGAGGCTAGTAAATCTTGTCACTTTAGAGAAATTTAGAATATGACTAGAAATTATACTTTTGTCTAATCGTGTTAGATTTATTAACTCGCATCCATTTGTTAGATTGTTGGTGTTTCGAGAAACTCGAGTAATAGTTTTAACTTTTCTATATCTTAGCATTAACCATATAATTTCTTCATATAATGAAGTGTTATCTTCGCAAAACAAGACAACTGACTTGGATGTTACAAGCTCACACATATTCCACAAAGTTACGAAGATTGTGATTAATCCAGGGTGGTATCTTGGTAAGAGTGACATGGGTACACAACAGGAGATAGGTATCTCTACCCTATTTGACGCATGTACGGGGTAGCAGGATATGAAAATATTGCTTTTTTTATTGTCAGTTGTTTTTTCCTTACCTACATAGCCAAGCGTCTCGAGGCAGGAGATAGGAAATTCGTTTGGTTCTTCGGTGTCTTCTTTCCCTAAGGAACCGAAACAAGATGGGCAGAGATCTGGATTTTGGAAAACTAAAGATATCACTTGCATTACAACTGTATTTGAGTTAGAGTTTCCTCCTTCACGACAAGGATACATTTGAAAAAGATTTTGTATTTTATCTTTCTGTGACGAAAACATTTCAAAATCGTCTAATGAGGACTTGTCTCGTTCAATGTAATCTTTTATTTGATCAAAGCCGGTACATTCGAACGAATATACTGCACTCGCAGTGACCAGAATCTCAGCCTGATACTTAAGATTGCTGGAAAATTCATCCATTAAAAATTCTAAGATTCCTGTCTTGGATATCTGGTCATTATAATCATTTAAGTCAACAACGTGGAGTTTAAAAGACATGGTTTCTCTTTGAACTGATCTAAGAAATCCCCAAATTGAAACTTGAATTGGGTTACAATTCGATGTTTCAACACAGTTGCTTTTATCGGTAGTAACAGTCCAGGTGTTCCTGGTAATAACTAAAACCCTGCAGTTTTCAGTATTTTCGTGAATATGTATTAAAATATCTTTGAGCCAGAGTATTTTTCTTTCCACAACAGTCTGTATGTCACGTCCATCAATTATTTGATCTCTGAATTCGTCCATCATTACTGCTATATTTTTGTGCTTTTTAATTTGGTTGCTGAAATTCGCCAATAATGTCTGTCTCTGTTTATTGTTTTCCGGAATAATCAAGCTAGGACATTCGCCTAAATGACGCTCGGCTGTAATGAAAATAATATCTGTGTTATTCTCTGGGGCGGGGTGATCGATGAGACTAACTTTTTTCCACTGTTGTTTGTAAAAATATTCTTTAGCTTTCTCACGATTGATGCCAATGCTTTTAACAGTGAATCTCAAAATACTAGCTATGATGTCGCCATTTTCAGCACAAAGATGGATTAAGCAAGTAAATTTTGTTGGTGTTATTTTTAGAAGCTTTACGTAGCAAAACATATGATCTTGTACTTCCCGTAAGACACGAATTTGGTTCAAATGGGCAGGAAGCAGTTCAACGTTGTCATCGTTAGATCCGAAAGCACCAGGTGTTTGAAGGAGACCATCTATTATAGCTGGGTGCAGTATCGTTCCTTCCATTTCTTCTTTTAGAAGTTCATTCAACTTAAATTCCACTAAAGCCTCTTTGTTATTCTTTACGGCTCCTTGCAAAATGGTCATTGCCTGTCCATATTGAAACCCATAGGACGCTAAATCAGCGTACATGTCTTCTGATGTTAATAAACTGTTACACCTGCTTCGGATATCATCTAAATCTAATTTATCAACAGTAGATCCACTGGTATAAGATTTAATAGTACCTGTAGCATAAACAGTAGTCCCTTCAAATATTCTAAATTGTATCTCTTCATTTATATTTTCTGTTTCTACATCAAGTTCTTTCGATTCTCGGTTCATCAAAACAAGTGGGGTTTCAAAACCAACACTGATTTCTTCGAATACTAATCGGGAGGACCTTGTGGCAGCAATAGCTATTCCCACTTCTGCATAGAATGCACCAGGTATCATCACTATCCCATGTACTTTATGTTCATAGATAGAAGCTATGCGAGACGGGTCTAATAGAACTTTATAATTTCTAGAATCTGAACCGAGTGATTTCAGAAATGGATGACGGCGCGTTTTAGAATTAACACCCATGAGTGTCTCTCTTGCTATATTGGGTATGTAACAATTTGGAACTCTGTTGAACTGGTATTGTGGAACTTCTATAACTTTTCCTGAACATTTTAGGACATCTTCCCATTTGATATTTACTCCATTCTCATATAGAGATACTGCAGCCTTTTTTATAGATATTATTTCATCATCTTTCTGTATTGTTGGTATGGCTATAGCAACAAGAGGTTGTTTAAAGATTTCCCCTAGATGGGCTTTTAAAATCGGCTTTGGTCCAATTTCTATAAATATATTCATTTTATCGGGTTCGTGAACTTCTACTATAGACTGGTGAAACAACACTGGGTTCCTAATGTTTTTCGCCCAGTATTCAGACGTGATGAAATCTGCACCAACGGCCATTTTCCCGCTTACCGATGATACTATAGGCGTTGTGGGTGGCGTTCCGTGAAGAGTAAAGGCACTAGTCAACTTCTCTGTACAATCGTTCATATGGTGTGAGTGAAATGCGCTTGTCACATTTAAATCTATGAATTCCACACGGCTTTCTGTTTCTTTCAACCTAGATTTGATCAAATCCACGATTTCATCATCACAGCTGATTGTGCAACAAGATGGGCTGTAAAACAGTGATATGTTCGCTTGTGCTTTAAATGTTTTTATTAATGACTTTACGTCAGCGATCTCCATATTCCTGACTATAAACATTTTACCTCCTGTTGCTTCGGCTTGATATTTAGTTCTATGGTAAATAACACAAACTGCTTGGTTTAGGGTAAGAGCTCCGGATGCATAGGCTGCTGCAACTTCGCCTATAGATTGCCCAACGATAGCATCTGCCACTACACCAAATTCTTTCATTATAGCATATACACCAACTTCGCACGCGAATGTCATAATTGGAGCTACATAAGGATCATCCAGGTCAAAACCGTTCTCAAATGCATCACACAAATCCCACGAAATAAATTGTTTCAATACATCCGACACATCGTTTATGGTACATTTGAATATAGTAGAATGTTTCAATAAAGACTGACACATTCCTTTCCAGTTTGTTCCCATGCCAGCGAAGACCAAAATAATTTTCTTCTTCTTAGAAACTGCATCTGTTGAGTGTTTGTGTTCTAAGTCAATTTCATTCAATCTTTGAATAATTTGTTTCATGTTAGTGCCAATAACAGCAACACGAAAAGGGAAATGGTTTCGTCTGTACATAGTGGTATACGAAACGTCGTCAATGTTACAACCTTCTCCGGTTTTGCAGAAATGCGATTTGGTCATCTGCAGGGAGGTGCGATCACATGCTGACAAACAGACAATCCTGGGCAATTGAGATATTGAGGTGTAGTAACTGTCTGGTTCATTTGACGGGTTTATGGGGGTTGTGATGATAGCATGGCTGTTAGTACCACCGAAACTAAAACTATTTACACAAGATCTCATATACCCATTATCGTTTTTGGGCCAGGGCTGAACTTTTGTTGGTACCTTTAGTTTATATTTTTCAAGAGGAACATTCTCACTTGGTTTATCAAAATGGAGAGATGGGACGATTTCCTGGTGTTTATGCATCAATAAAACTTTAATTAGACCAGCTACACCAGCACCTGATTCTAGATGTCCAATGTTAGTTTTTACAGATCCTATCAGTCTCTCTTTAGGATTTTTATTTTTATGAAAGAATTTACCAAGAGCTGTAACTTCTACTGGATCACCAGCTTTGGTTCCAGTGCCTACAATTGGAATTATCAAAATAATACTAATTAAATAATTGCCAAAAAGTACATGTATACTTTACCTGCCCCAGCGTCCAGCGATCTACAAGTTTAAATATAGTACGTCATAACATATCTATATGATACTATGTTGTTTACAACAGTCACAAGTCTTTTTAGTAAATTTGCTTTTTTTGGTTTGCACTTTTGCGTTTGTTTTTTCTGGCGCGCTTTTGTAAAAACATCTAAATGCAAACGTACAGCCGGGTTTTTTTATCAAAAAATCTGCATTGAACTTTAACTCACCGTGTGCTTCGATATAGTCTACTGATTTTGGGTCAATTCTGTATCTGTCAAACACTGTGTCAAGTAGAGATTCTTGTTGCTGGGGGGATGGTGTTGTGATGGGCGTGACTGTTTGGCCATCATGGTTTACAGCTGTAACAATAGTTGCCCAGATAGGATCATTATCATTCAAAGCCTACAAAAACACAAATAATTTGAAGTAAATAGTATGTAAGATTGGGGAAAGTTTGTTATTTTGTAAATAATGTGTACTTTAGGACATTCCTATGGACTTTAACAGGGAATGAAGGGCTGGAAAAGTAACAGGTGGGGGTGGGGGAGATTTACGAATGAATGCTTGGTCTAGCCACTCTATAAAAGTTATACAAACATAATACCTTTTCTAGTGGTTTCAAGATAACAATTCCACATCCTTCTCCTCTGGCGTATCCGTCAGCATTTTCAGAGAAAGCCTGACATTGTCCAGTAGGTGATACCATACCAGCTTTACTTAGTTGTATAAATATATCTGGTTTCATCAGTGAGTTGACCCCACCTGCTATAGCCATATCACATTCTCCTGAAGAAAACATTATTATTATTTTCGTAAGTGTTTTCATTATAACATGTTTCGGACCTTCGCTCAACGGATCTTCTTCAGGTTTTCATTTATGGATTCTTTGGAAGAATCCCATGTGGGCTTTGACTGACGGTTTTTCGAAATTCGGAAGTTCGCTCGATTAGTTTTAGCATCAAACATTTACGAAAGTTTTCTTCGACATTTTTTCGACATTCAAGAGGGCGTATCTCCTTTAGTATTTGAGGTATCGAGTTGAAACTTGGTAGGAATAATGAACACATTAATGCCTTCGCAATGGCAGATTTTACCGAACATGAATAGTTCTCTCCATTTTAAAAATAGACGAAAAATGACATATAGTAGTGTTAGCCCCAGATATTATCTTTCATTTTCAGAGACCTAGTAAGGTAACATTTTCAATCGATATTCGGCCGCTAATTAGATTTCGATTTTCAAAAACTTTTTTTTATTGGTTTTGAACCTGCTCCAAATGGCAACAATTCTTAGGGAGCCGATTTTTGAATTTCGATTTCGTTTTCTTCCGGTTTCACTTTGAATTTTGTTCGACTCTTTGCCATTTATCTGGTGAACTAATCTTTCATTGACCCTTGACCTTTGTACATATGATGACCCCGGTGTCAATTAACAATTCATATCTAAAAGTTCTGTCTTGAGGTATAACTTCAAAATGCCGGTTTTTTTCCAGTTTAATAGGTATTGGCTGTTACTATACTCAATAATTCATAGTGTAACTTGATGATTGTTGGCGTGACAAGGCGCGCCTGACGTGACCTGACGTACCGAAACACGTCAGTACTCCTTCGGAGTTCTAGTAATTTATTCTGTTTCTCGATTTTGCTGCATTCTTCCATTGGGCTTTGAATTGTAAGCCCTGGTGCTTTGCTTGATTTCTGGATTGTGCTCATCAAGGAATATTTCATGTTTTATAGCATAGTTTCTATGGTTTGCTTTGCAAAAGTTAATGAAAACAAAAGATATTGTATCTATGTCAGTAAAATTAGAAATGATATTTATGTAAATCTACCTGAACGTAAAGCTTGACAAGCTAGATGGATAGATACAAGAGATGATGAACAAGCCGTGTCTATCTTCATTGAAGGACCGGTCAAATTGAAGACATACGACACTCGGGCAGCTACAATACTATTACTGGTACCGGTCAATGTATAGTTATCGCTTTCCTCGGCAATGGTGGAGAAAATATTGGAATAATCAGAGCTAAACATACCTATAAGAAATAGTAAATTTCATGTAAGTGAAAACTAGAAAAATGTGTAATGTTTATATTAGTGACATAAAATAAATGTGCAATGCATATAAATTAATAAATATCGCATTTCGTCGATTATCTTAAATCAAACTTTCAAACGGGCATGACTTAAGAAATCTGACCTGGCCTGTCTTTGTATAACACAATAGGATTTTTTTTCTTTTAAGAATATATTGTTATGTTCAGTGTTCCATGATCCTGGCTAAAGGAGCATATAGGCTATTGCAATTGCTTGGAACAGTTGACTTCATGTGAGGTGAGGTCTGTCTGTGTTGCAGGTAGAACTTTGACTTAAATAGGTGTCCTAGACATTAACTCGTTCATATGCCGGGTACTCGAAAATATAATCATAGTTTATTCACGAAAGAGCAAAGAGCTCCCCCTCCCCCCCAGCTGAGCTAATGTTCACCCAATTTTCATAGTGTTTGCCATTACCAATCAAGTAGACGCGTACCTCGCCAAGTTTGGGGGTCAGACACACACACACACACGATTGTATTTCTTTATAATATTAATTACCGATATATACTCCCGTGTTAGATCCACTTATTTGTTGTTTACTTATTCCAGCATTCTCTAAAGCCATAAAGGTACTGTCTAATACAAACTTGTGTTGTGGATCCATTTTAAGAGCTTCAAATTCATTGACGCCATAGACTTTGAAATCCCATTTGTCGTGGCTAGATTGTTAAAAAGAAAACTTGCTTTTTTCAATTTATACCCCCTTTGGCGGTTTGGAATGCTAGATTTCGAATAAATTCTTTTATTATTTTCATATAAGCATTTATAATAGTGATGTAATAAATACGTCTATGGTTATGGTAGATAAATACATAATAAAAATAAAAATAGGTCTAACAACTTCATCAAATTATAAACGTCTTTTCCCCTTTAAAATATCAACTTTAATTTCTTCATTCTGATGCGCGGAAGCTATGTGTTTGCTCCTTTAAAATAGGCGTTTGAGATTTTGTTATATAAATAGACCATACATGCAGAGAATAATATAATATCAGTACAACTGATTATTTTATGTGATTGACTGAGGTCCTTTTTATTCTAATATGCATGTGTATGAGAATGAAGAAATAGAAGTGGATTTTTTAAACTGGGCTTATATATGTATATTATTATTATTATTAAACTAATATATTTAGTATTTGCAGGAAAGTGGAGTTCATAATCATCAAACACGAATGAAAACAAACAATTACAAGCCCATTTTAGATTAAACATACCCATCAACAAAACCTGCTCGTCTAACGTGTGTTTTTCCAGCAACTACAGGATCAGGGTCATAAAATGCTTCTAAATTCCAACGGTTTGGTGGAACTTCTATCACGTGATTTTCACCATTACGTAGTACCCTCCAAAACTCATTAACATTATCAGCTCCAGGAAACCGACAACCAACACCAATAATAGCTACCTCACACATTTTTTACTGAAGAAAATGGGCATTGATGAATACAATATTTGTACTCCTTGGAAGTTATTTAATGAATTCAAACGAAAGGAATAATTAATACCTTGGATGAATAGTATTCTTAGTTCAATATGGCCGACATCAATGAATGTGTGATGTTTCATATTTGATTAAAGATACCTTCTTGTGTACAAAGTGGGTGATTTGGTGATATATTTGGACTAAACACATATTCAAACTAATTAATCTATCAAAATTTTGCTTCAAATACTTTTCAAAACATTGTTTTCGCGAGGGAATACCCCTGCTATAAAAAGCCTATTAAAAGAAGTCATGTTTGTGTCACGTGGCTTGGCTGCCGCGCTACATAGCAACGGGTGCGAAGCCGGGGGAGGATTCAATGCATATACAAGACGATTTTGTCTTTAATGCTCTCCATTTATCATAAATATCGAAGCCTAATTAAATTCATTGTCCATGTCTTTTTCCGTGGTTTTTATCTTAGAAGCTGTTGTACGACGTACGTTTAGCTCTTCATCAAGTTTATCAACATATACACCAAGCGTTCACTAACGCTGGGAGAACAGACAATCTTTGCGTGCAACCTCTGACGTCACGCGACCAGACATTCCTAATGTTCGGGCTGTCGGTTAGAGAAACCCTTACATTTTTTTCCTGTATGCGCTCCATGGGTGTTTTCAGGGTATCCAGTATTTTTCTATTAAGATTTTATGTTTCTAATTATTACAGCATATTTATAGTGCGCCCTTTCATATAACATGTTCATGGGCACTTTACAAAGTGACAATGTAATCATAAATAAACTAGATTATGGACATGTTAACGATTGAATACAGTCAGTTAAAAGCCTGATTAAATAAATGTGTTTTGAGTTGTTTTTTTTAAAAGAATACATAGATGTACAACATCTTAAACTAAATGGTAGATTATTCCATAAAACAGGTGCTTGATAACTAAAAAAGTGCTGACCATATAAGAGACCAGTTGAACAGTTTTGGGCTTTAAAAGTAGTTTATCTGATGTAAGTAATGTTCGGCCAGATGTATAAAGTTATATAAGATCTGAGAGGTAAACAGGCGCTAAATTATTTAAACATTTAAAAGTAATAAAATCTTAAAATCAATTTATATTTAGCAGGTAACCAGTGTAAATTATATAAAACAGGAGTTATATGGTCACATTTCTTAGTTAAAGTAACAAGTCTAGTTACAGTATTCTGTACTTTTTGTAATTTATCTATAAGCTTTAAAGGTATACCAACTAAAAGTGAATTAAGGTTATCTAATCGAGAAGTGACCAAAGAATTAACAATAGGACCTTCAACATGGTTATTATTAACTTATCTTTACTTTTATTAATCTTTTATATCCTTCAAAAACGTTAGAAATACTTCGTCAAATATTTGGAAAAAGAGTTTGTTTATAGTTCAAGGAAATAGTCTAAACATGATTACCTCTGTTAATCTTTTATATCCTCAAAACTTTAGACATACTTCGTCAAATATTTGGAAAAGGGGTTTGTTCAAACCATATAAGGATATCGTTCACTAATCAATTATTAGCTATTCTGGTAATTCAACTAAAATATACTTGTATTTATAAAGATTATATTTTCAATTCAAATAATATAGATCAAGGAAGTAACCTTTAAAATGATGTTATCAGATATTGCACTTAATAAAGAGAGGTCGTGAGAAAAGAAAGAAATAGTTACTTTATCAGAGGAAAGTAATGTTACTTAAATAAGAAAACCCAGATAAATTTCAGTGAATAAAATTTAAAACTGATATGTGTGGAAGGTAATTAGATTGCCGCATTTGGGGATCCAAGGAAAACTATCTTACAATCTATAACAGGGTTTCAATGAAATACCAACGTTCAGTAGTCTAGAGGAGATGCAGACGAACTTCTTGCGATAAAAATTTCATTTCGGCTACATAGTTTCGGCGTCGGCGCGTTCGGGGAGGGGAGGAGTTGGGGACAATGAAAAATTGTAGGCATGTGCTAAAAAGATTATGTAAGGCCAGAATAAGCTTTAGTTATTTAAATCATATCATTTTTATCATTGTAATATTTTAGCGTTCGAGAATTCTTTTTTACGTTCACACAAATTTAAATGGAAACAATATTTTGCATAGAATTCAGAGTTTGTATGTTAAAGTAATCGAGTAGAAAATCCTAAAGAAACATTAAAGAAACTGACTGCACTTACATGAAAGAATTAATAAATTTTCAGCGAAAAATGAAGTTCAAGAATCCTAAGCATCTAGAAATCAATGAAGATTAGGCAAATATGCCTCTTTCGCAATGCAATCAGAAATCACAGAATTTTGACAAAAACTAATTTTAGAAGTGATAGGGATACTTTGGACTCGAAAAAGTAAATGCACAACAAACCAGATGACTCATACGCCGTGCTGGATTAACCATTGGGCAAAATAAGCACGTGCTTAAGGCATCGTGGGGGTGGAGGGGGTACCTTTGTTAGATGATGAAGTTTAAAATGTTTAATTTAAAAACTAATTAAAAACTTTTAATTAGCTTTTCATTGTTTTTTGTCTTTTCTTAGTTTTACATTTATCTTCTTTGTTTCAATATACATGTATAATGACATGTATAAAATTTGACGGATTGTTAATGCTTCATTATTGTTTATATTTTGAATTGTATACTGTATGTCGGCACCAAAATCTTCTAAGTGCTCTATAGCGATCTTAGGAAAAGGTGGCAATGACATCACGCGCACTTGATCCGGGCAACTTCCAGCGGCACAGATAGATTCTGGTACAGGCCTACGAAACGTTGGGTAATATTTTTATTTCTAAACAAAAACAGTTGATTAAATTAATTTGTCAATCGTGTGCTATAGGTGCTTGTGAAGAAAAAAAAACATATTAACTTTCACAAGGTGTTACATTTTTCTATCCTCGGAACTTAAAAGATGATATTTAAAAGACACGGAAACAAAAAATCTTGGAAATAATGAAAGGCCAAAATGTGCTCGTTGATGACGTTGCAATTTGTAGTAGATATTTTGTTGACGGAGACAAACGACATTTGCCAATAAAAATTCCACAAATAGTACATGGAGACGTTATTGGCCAAAACAAACTACAAGTCGGCGAATTATCAGCAAAAAAATATTCGGACAATTTAAAGTTCCAGCAACACCCTCACCAAAGTCGTCACCACGACGTTTCGTCGTCTTATTTATTAATTCTAAAATATTTCATTGCTATTACAATAAGAGACTCTATTGATCGTAATACCAAAACTGGTACATCTCTGTATTAGTTTACCTACTCCAAGCCAGAAAGTTATTAAGGAAATCGAGTCTATGATTTTTATTTATACATGTATCTGGAATGGCAAGATAGATAGGATTTCGAGTATGAAAACGGTGGATTAAGAATGCTTAATGTGAACTGTTTCATAAAAAGTCTCGAATTGTCATGGATAAAACAAACTCCTTACAGAAAACTCGAACTGGACGAAATTTATAAAAAATATCATGCCTGCAATCCTAAGGAAAATGACATCGTACGGAGATGAACTTGTAAAAAAAACTTATACTGTAAATGTAACTAATAATCAATTTTGGAAAGACATTTTCAAAGCTCTCCGTGAATTTATCCTTGATAGTCCGAAAACACTGACATAATAAAAAAATTACAATTTCCAGAAATCCTATATCTACTATACAAAGAGTGGTATGAAAAGGGAATATGATTTACTTGTGAATTCTTAGACGAGGATGGGAATCTAATTAATTTAGCCCAATTCAATAAAAAAAATAATTTTGGTCCGTCTTTTATACCAAATTTTTAGGAATTATAAACTCTATTAAAATATTTCTCAAAAATCATCAAATTATTGGTTACGGCGGTTACTACCATGGCAGCCCAAAACACATCCAAACTATCATGGGTAAAAAAAAGTTATTTCAAAGAATTTTTATCAGCTGTTTGTTGCCCGGTTTCATAAAAAGCAAAAACCGAAATAAATCAATCACATTTGATGAAAATATAGGTGATTTGTGGCAAAATATCAACTGTTTAGCTTTTAAAATAACTAAAGACATACGATTCTGAGTACAAATCAATATCTAAAAAAAAATAGGTACACAAGAATATGATAAATGTACATTTTGTAAAATTGTTTAGAAGCCTCACTCATATATTTGTCGAGTGTGAAAAAATTGAAAAGTTATGGAAATTTGACACGTCACAGTCTCACTGTCCTTCTCTGCTTTTTGTAAAGTTCTGTATTCTTCTTTCTCTCCTGGCATTTGTCACCTTTATTTCTATATACAGTTTCAATAATTTTCCACTGTATGCATTAAAAAGGTTATATTTTTCAAAAACATGCATTTTAATTGTTTTAGTTTTGCAGATGTAATATTAAACAATTTAAAATGCATGTTTTTGAAAAGCGAAAGTAGAAAGTGAAATTGAACATAAACGGAGGCCTATTGAAAAGTCAATGTGGACTTCTTTATCAATATAGTCTTATTGTAATATCAATGAAATATTTTAGAATTAATAAATAATAGTCTTATTGTAATATCAGTGAAATATTTTAGAAATAATAAATAGGCCGATTAGTACCTTTTTAGCCGAACTTTTCGCCGACAAAGCATGGAGACGCCTCATTTTCTCGGAAAATTGTGGTGACCTACTTATTCTGACGAGTTTGATGAGCATGTTTCTTACACTTTAAATTGTCAGAAACCTAATTGTTTTTGCTGATAATTCGCCGACTTTGGGTATGGTTGGGTCAAATAACGTTTACGTCTACTTACTATTCGTGGAATTATTTTTGGCAAATTTCTTTTGTCTCCGTGACTCCGTCAACAAAATGTCAAGTACTAAAAATTGCAACGTGATCACCGAGCACTATTTGATCATTCCTTGTTTCCAAGAATTTTCGTTACCATGCCATTTAAATATCATCTTTTAAGTTCCGAATGTCTTAATCCGGCCCTGTTCATACGTATCACAAAAATATATACTATTTTAATGCTGTTATTATGTAACTGTGTACATTCGACTATACAAAAAGTTATAGCTGAATTATTATTTTATTTTGACATGAAAGGACTTTAATATTTATATCGATTTTGATTAAAGCTTAAAAAATTTTAATACATAAAAATCAAACACGATGCCGTATAGTTATGCAGGTCAATTTATTTAATAAAACATAATTACCTTGGCTGTTCGCTCCATGGGTTAAACTTTTGAATCATAAATTATGACTGATCCTTCCTGTGCGTATATCTTTTGAAAGAGAGGATTTTATAACTATTAATAGTAATGTTGTGTCCCCGTGTTATTTTTTTACATAATCTAGCATAAGTGATTATAAATTTATTTGGGATAGGCTAATGTTTGGGTTATTCAGTATTCGCCTTTTACCTCCGGGCAATTCGAGGAAATTAGTTTCTGTTTAAATATATTAGCAAGAATGCGTCATTCAACGCGGCGCCTCTTCCATTCACTGCAGTATTTGATCGGAAAACATTTTCATCGACCTTCATATTAAAATAATTCTTGTATGCAAGACTTAGATAAAGAGATGGTCGTTCTTGCTATAATAGTTTAGAAATATATTATATAATATAATATTTGAAGCCAATAGACAGATTCAGCTATTTAAGGAAAGTGAAACATATACTTTATTATGTTGCTATTATGTCTTCTTTCGCATTTTGGGTGGGGAGCCACGGTGGCTAAGTGGGTAAGACGCTGGCTCGCTAGCCTGGAGGTCGGTTGTTCGATCCCTGCATTGGCCGAGAAAGTTCATCTGGATTTTCCGACGTGGTTTCCCCTGTGAGGAATGGAGGGTCTGACAAGGACAGCTGTCTAGTCGTTCGGATGGTACGAAAATCCGAGCTCCCGCGTATACATTGAAATGCACGTAAAAGATCCTTGGTAGTTGGAATGCGATATAAGAGTAGGCCATAGTGCCGCTGTCCGGGCAAAATTTCCCTCATAGCACACTGTATGCCTGTCTTAATTAACCCAGTCGGAGCAGAACAGTAGGACGTTACGTTAAATCCCATTTCATATCATTTCTGCATTTGGGTGCAACCTTTAGAAATCCATTTTATATTTTTTTAGATTTAGAATAATAAAATGTTCAAATAAAATCGTTGAAAATTTAAGGAAGCTCAAATACGAACTATTTCTTGTTTATTGGTTTCCTGTATTTTTTTAATTTTGTATTTTTTTATCTTTTTATTATTATCTTTTTTTTTTTTATTATTATTATTAATTTCTAAATTCTATTTTGAATTGTGTGGAATATGTTGCAAATTGAATTAAGGCACTCGACACACATTAACGTGGTTCAATTTTATTTCAATAATTCGCTTATGCGTATGGTCTTTAACAGTGGGAGGAAACCGGAGACCCCGGAGGTTAGCCGGGCAACCCTACACCTTGTCACTTACAAGAGGGGGATAACACCTTATGACAGACCTATGATCTAAAGCGCACGCCCATCCCTCCATTTTAATTGTCCAAATTATGAATTAATTTTTAAAATTTTTAAGTTAATTGTTGCAAATTCTTTTTTTCAATTCTTTTTTTTCAAATTCCAAATTTTAAAATTATGAGTACTTTTTTAATATTATGAGATCTTTTCTGTTGTTTTTTTGTTTGTTTTTTTTTTAAATTATGAATTCGTTTGTAAAATTAGGGATTCTCTGAATATCTAATTCCCGGTAAACAGAATAGGCATATCTGTACATGGCTCTCGGACAGTCGTTGCTCGCAATAATGTTCAAGTGTACCTGATTTAAAGGTGCATATACGGAACAGTCAGCGGCCATGTAAAACTCGCCAGTTTCATAATACGGAAGCACAACATTACGACAGTATTAGGGCGAAGACGCTACACTATCGTATGATTATTGTCCAAACGTCGCCTTGTTCTACAAAAAATACTAGTGTTGATTAATTTACGTGCATCGTAATTAAAGCTACCTTTAGCTGAGGTTTTCAGAAGTCGTCACCCCCTCTGCCCCCATATCTGCACACCATTGAAACCAGTAATAGAAAGCAAAGGCACGAACGGAACAAATTGTGAAAAAATTGCAAGAAAATAAAACGTGATTTGAAATATTTTAATAATCATTAACGTGTTCTAAAAAAGTCACCATATACACTAAATCTATGTACGATATAATGTTATACATTTTATAAAAATTCACAGAAGTATATCAAATGATAACGGTCATATTCATTATAAATTACTAGTCTATAGTAATTCACGTGGAACAACAATATTTTTCACATCAATAGTTGTCAATACATTTGAAGTAAACCCGAATCAGTGCAATGACCGGCATGGCACTTTGTGATGCACGTGTAAACAATATTGATCATCAAGAAAATTCGGTAGACATATCTTCTTCGTATAATAATGGGGACGCAATTGACCTGTTTGCTGTCCCTTTAAATGTTTCTAGTAATTGTAATTCACCACCCCAACAACAGGGTTTGTTCAATTCAGAAATATCTGATACAGATGAGTTACTTTCTGGACATGTTAATCCTTGAAATGCTTCGGCTCCATCGACCTCCATAAGGCACACATCGTCATAAGTACTTGAATCCCATCCAAGGTCATCTTTCACGTATGGATGGACGATCTCCTTAGTCTTGGAATTCTTTACGGTGAATATTGAGAATAGATTCCGTTTTTGTACAAGATTTTCCACTTTGCATGCTGTTATATTACTGGTTTTCATACTAGAAAGATTCGTAAGAGTGTTCAAATCTCCCGTCTTTGCTTGTGGTGGAACGATGGTACGTGTTGTTGGAATAGAAACTGCATTGTTTAGTTTGTGTGGTATCAACGGCGTAGTTGGGTCAGAGTTAGGATCAGATATCAGTGTAATATTACTTGGGGTCGTCTTATCTGTACCCTCAACTAGATTTGTGGAATTCAGCCAATCTTGAACCACCGTTTTGATTAAGTCATCTGCGGTATCCTCCGAGTCATCACTTAAGGATGTGTCATCACTGTCCGAAACATTTGGCGAATCGGGAAAGAAATATGGATCATCAGGATCGGATATCGGCGATGGGAGATCGTTGGTATAACAAGTCTTGTGTATGTATAAAGGTTTCGTAGAGGCGCTTCCAATTTCAGTAGTAGACTTGGTTAATGATGTACCAGCAGTTTGCTTGAATTTAAGAGGAATAAAGCATTGTCATTCAAGAATCAAATTTAGAAACGATAAAAGATGGAGAAATGAGATTTAAAGTCTACTCGATACAACAAGGCTATTTCCTGACGATAACGTATTCATTTTGCCATCAACCAAAAACCACAATCAGCAAACGACAATTTTAAATTATCCATTGCAAACTGCGTATGCAGATTTATGACAATCCTCGACGAGACAGTGATCTCGACGGTGAAACCACTGTAATAACACCATTTATTTATTACCAATGTATTTTAGAAATATTTACCTGCCTACTAAAAATTACTTATCTACTTATTTGTGCCATAACTAAAATAATGTAATTTGTTTTTGTCTGCATCATACATTATATGAAATTGTATATATATTATACACTCAAACCAGAAAGAAGGAAAGCCCACTTGGCTTGTTTTGGTATCCTATTCTTTATGCCTGTATATAATATTCTCGAAATAAATACTGTCTAAATCAAAATACGAATCAGAAATGCAAAATCTGGTGGTTCTACCAAGGGTAGAGGGTGTAAAAAGAGGGTGTAAAAAAACGCAGTGACAATGAAAAACGCTTCATGAATGGAATAAGAATTAAAAATTATGACATACCTGTTTCTGTGAATCAGTACCGAATTTGTTTGACTTAGATAGCATACCAGTGTTAAATGTGTGTTTAACTGAAACATAAAGACACGTCATATTTTATTAAGATACCGTTTTATTGCGTATGATTCTATTTTTATGAAGTCAAACCTATCAGAAATATATCGGCGTCTTACTTGGCGTTATGCGCACCACGGTATATATTTCGCGTATCTTTAATCCGCGAAATATATAGAACAGAATTGTGTTTATCATAACAATAGATAAAAGTGATATTTTTGTATACTGAGAATTAAATTTCAGTTTGCAATTTTCTGGTCAAATTACAGACGTGCAGATTCAGAATATAAAAGGGAACATACGACAATTCAAATGGCATTCAATATTAATTGATAGAAAAAACCTCCATGCGAGTACAATTAATCCTTTCTGAACTAATTAAAACAATTGATTGTACCTAAGTGAGTGGCATATTAATTAAAAGTTTTTCAAAGCCAGAACAACCATTTAATTCGATTATCATTATTGTTCATTTTATATAGCGCTTCATTGGGCTACACAAAGTGTGATTCTAAGCGCATTGACACAAAAAAAAAACATTTTGGGTTTATTGATATGGGGAACGGGGGGGGGGGGCATAAATTCATCGGTGACACAGCCAAGATTCTTAGCCTGCTTCTTTGGAGATATAAAGTATTCTGAATGGAATCCGCTGGATTGTGATTTTGATGATATGACACGTTAAATTTTAGCCTATTTCTGGTCATCCATCCTCGAATGTCTTCCAGACAAGATAGTTATTATACTGAAAATGGATATACATGTACATTTGGGTGTCGTCAGTAAAGCCGTGGTGTTGTACTTTATGTCTTCTTATGATGTGACCAATTGGAAGAATGTATAGGAGAAAAAATAGGTGTCCCAACAGCATAGGATTGAGACACAGACACGTTAAAATAAAAGGGATTAATTCCTACCTGATTTATTCTTGCGTGGTTTAACCCCAAAGAATTTAGCTGTATTCAGTATTTGCTGTTGTTTATAGAGACAATCTTTATCAACTGTAAAACATTAAATTCATAATTGATCTGAATGTTCTTTATGATGACAACAATCAGGAAAGATGACAGAAATCAAACGAAGCTAAGACATATTCAATCCGTCACAGGGGAAATAACTCTGTTCGTCGGTTCGCGTGAAAAGGGGCGAATACTGTGAATAGAAATCTCTATAATGGTACCGTGATAGGCTATGGGAAATGAACTAAACTGGGGATTAACGTAACTACTTTTCTGCTCCGATTGGGCTAAGGAAGACGGACATACGTCATACCCCAGGGTTAGGGAGTCAACGTCTTACTGGGTGAGCCACGGGCTTAGGGTCGTGCGAACCGAAAAAGGCGGGTACGGTTTGTTGAAATAAAATCACAACACCTGACATATTAAAAATTAAAATCCCTTGTCATAAGTA